TGTGTGTGTGTGTGTGTGTGTGTGCGCGCGTGCGTGCGTGCGTGCGTGCGAGCGTGCGTGGGCGCGCGCCTGCATGTAAGCACGTGTGTTGAGTTAGTATTGCCACGCTATTTGGCACGCTGAAATGCATGCTTGGTCTGGGAATTCCAGGGGGCCAAAAAAAGAACAAAAGCAGCAGCAATGAGTTTCAAGGGATATTCCAGATGTTCTCTTGCATCTCTTTCTTGGAGTCGGGAGGGGGACGGCGCCTGGGGGCTGCCCATGACAGTCCCTCGGGGCGCGTGCGGCGCGGGCGCTCAGCGGCCGGAGCTGGCTCAGTCGTTAGGGGGGTCTCTGCCCACTTCCTCTGCTGGTGCTCGGGAACAACGCTGGCCCTGGGTCGGACGATCGCGTGAGGCGAGCTGTAGGGTACCGCGGGGTGCGGATGCAGGCGGCGCGCTGGCGGGCGCTGGCGCTGCTGATGGCGGTCGCCGGTGGGGAAGGGAGCGCGGACGGCGGCTGGGCGCCGGCCCTGAGGCGCTCGATGGGGCGCGGAGGGGCGAGTCCGCAGGGGGATTCGGATCGTCGGATCGCTGGTTACATACGTGATGTTAAACACTCGACTCGCTCCCCAATTTATTCTCAACCAACAACGTACTATGGCAGTTCAACTTGCGCCTGCCGGGCTTCCGGCTTCATCACCAAGTGTGATTTCCTAGATCATTCCTGGAGCTGGAGGCTCATAGCTCCCAGGAGCAAGGCCCAACAGCTGGCTGTACCAACTGGGGCCTGCTGCAGCTTCCGCGCAGGCGTCGGCGGACGGAGTCATGGTGATCTGCCAACCGCGTTCCGCAGCTCTCCGCGTCAAAAATAAATGAAACAGAACACCTTCATTCCTGAACAAGCAGGAGCCTGCGCCTCGGCCTGTGTGGGACTCGGGTCAATCACGAAGTGTGATGCCTGTTGTGATGAGACGAGCGAGGCGCACACATCGCAATACGCTGATCAAAGCCCCAGGCAGACGCGGGGCAGGAGGGGCAGCAGGCAATTTGGCAAAGTCAAAGCAGCAGCGGCTGCATGGCGCACACTGCTGCGCCTGTCACGCCAGCTCATGGCTGGTGCACACAGTGTGGCGGGGTACGCCGCATCCCGTTACATCTATGACAGCAACGCACGTGCCTGGACGACACATGTATGTCCATGCGCCAGCAAGGTCAAACCCAGTTGAACAAGCGTGGGCACACCACAAGCAAGCACGGCAAGCTGCCCCTGCAGCCTTGATGCTGTGCAGCTGCGGAAACATCAACCAAAGGCGACGCACACCAAGCGCTTGTTAGTCCTAGAACAAAAGTCTGTTAATTCGATCCAAGAGGCATCGGTCACGGTTGACAGTCCAACATTGCCAGTAGCCGCATTGGAAGTGAACCCCGAGCACGTTAAGGGGACCGCTCTGCCGGCAGCATCAGAGCCCGACCACCAGTTCACAAGACCTGTCAACACACCCGCATCTGAGAGAGATCTCTGGATGCGGCCCCCCAGCAGGGTTTTAAAGCTGCTGGCCAGGACGGCGCCAGTCACAGACTCGACGGGCACGGCGTCGGGGACCCCATACAAGGTGGGGAAATCAGAAATTTGGTCACCCGATGATATTGAAATGAATGCACGCGCCTGTGGAAGCCCGGTGGGCCTGTTTGCAGAGGCGCGGCACAAGGTATCGGCGCCAGACCGCCCGCCAAGGTTCCCGTCCCTGCCTGTGTCTGACTCTCGGTAGAGGACCACTTTCATTTGCTGGTATTGCGCCGCAGGGATGCCCCCCAGCGC